CCTGGTATAATTTTTGTACACTGAAAAATTTCAGTTTAACCATTTGTTGTTTTTTCCACTGATAAGCTGTTGTGAGAAGGCTTTCTAAAAATAAACCTCCCCATTGCCTGTCGGAGACTCATCCCACAGAGCATAATACCCCCCTTGTTGGAGCAAGGGTTCAGGAAATGGGAAATGCCAGTTCATTTTCTCAGCTGAAGATATTCAGACCCACAGTTTCTGTCTCCACAGAGTGCTGAGTGTAGCAAAGACAATAGATAATATTCTGTTTAACAGCATAATGTAGAAATAATTCTAGAAGCAGTTTGGAGCCACAGACACTCAGATGTGTGTGTCCTAACACCTAGGCAAGAATCATACTTAATATTCTTTGAAGAATCTTAAATTTTCTTTTGTATGATGGCACAGTTTTACTAGGAGGGGAAGAAAATGCTCATTTCTAGAACCTCCTCGAGTTTATAATTAAGGGTTTCTCCTAGATGATATGGAGTTGAACTCTGACAAGCTGAGGAGACCAAATCAAGTTCCTGAGTAACAGCTTTGATCATGCTGTTATTTCTGTGTAAGAAAGATCCCACCATTATCACTTCCCCTTCCATTGGTCTTGCTATACAGAAAAGTGGTGGCTAAATGGTCATCTGTGCAGTCTGACTTTGTCAATTTGTTCATGTGTTAGACAACGTGCTTCCTGGATCTCTGAGGGCTTATGTGGAAAACCAGTTGTAGATGATCAGCTTCATTATGTATCATGACCAATAAAGAACTCTTCTGCTAATATCCAGTCTACTGATTAAGAAATTATTACCAAACAAAAAAAGTCAGTAAAAAAAGTCCAAAATACAATGAGAAAAATAATTTTTTGGGGGTATAGTCTAAAAGCTTGAATCAAATGTTTTTATGTACGTTATATAGTGTTTATAAAGAATTATCAAGGTGTAGCATGCCTTATAGATAGAAAAAGATAGAGAAAATGTCTTTTCTTTTTCAGAATCTCAGGCAGCATGTAATTGGCATTTATCAGGTAGCTCCATTGGTAATATTCTGGTGATCACACCATCACCATGAAATAAATCAATACACTTACTGGTGACAACAATATACATTATTTGTTTTCATTTATTTTATTCTGAAAGTATGTTGTCACACTAGCACCATTAACAGCTTCCATATTCTGTGAAGATACTATTATAGGAGGACGATGGCAATGTAAGTACATACTACATTTTCAGAGATCTGACTCTGACAGAGTTGAAGATTACTTCTAGAGTTTCAAATTAATCTGAATGACCCCATCTTTATTGCTGTTGAATTTCTGGAAGTGATGAAATGCCAAGTCATTGAAAATAACTGATAAAAGCCTAAACAATCTGAAATGAGTAATGTAGCATTTCTTTGACTTCATCTAATTCCCATATGCTTTACAGCCAGGTACAGTATTTTATAGAGAAATGTTTGTTTTAAGGAATCTGAGTGCTCTTCAGTTTACTAAGAATAGATCAACTAGGCAAAGAAGGAAAAATCCATTATCATACACTCTTGCATTTTATGTTCACCAAAATTGTGGCTGTGAAGAGCAAACACTGCAGCAGTGATTTCTGTCATAACAACGTGTCTGTAAAAGACCTGGGCATCAGGGCTAGAACTATGTTATGGAAATATAAGATTCAAGTGTAGGCAGAGCCCTTTTGGATCCCTTTTCTTCTGAACAACTTGCATAGCAGAGACCCAGTAATATGCATATTTGTAAGTGATATTAGATAATAGGAGGATTTGTGATTGTCTCCTGCATACCATGTTAAAATTTTATTCTTTACTCAGAGTCATTGAAGTACAACTAAGAAATAGCTGACGCTCCTCTGTCTTGATAATAATATGCACCATAGTGCTCTTTTCTAGCTGATAAAACAAGAAGAAGAAGAAAAAATAAAGCTTCCTTTAGTACATTCCTTTGGAAAAAGAAGAAGGAAAGGTTCCTTTAGTATGTTCCCTTGGAAAAAATAGTGAAATGATAATTGCACAACCCTTAGTAGCTCAGTCAATGAGTACTACAAAACCATACATGGTGATGTCCAAATGTGGATGCTGACACAAGCAGACTTTACTTACAGAGATTTTCTCAAACAAATAAAACAAGTTTTGCCTTCAGATATACTTCGCATACTGATGGACAGAAGGAGGAAGCAGACAAAACTCAGTTTTTCAGAGGCAATCAAATAGACAATTATATAGGTACCATAGCCCAAACTACTAGCTCACAAAAGAGTAAGTTTGCTCCAAATCTATCAGTGCTAATTTCATTTTTTTTCCTCACCTGGAAGTATTGTAAAGCTGAAAAAGCTGACACAGCATGCATTGTAAGGTGATAACAAAAGGGAGCAGCATTTGCTGTTTAATTCAGTGGCTGGATGCGAAAGTCATCTATCCTGCTGTTACATGATATGCAACTTCTCAGAGCCTTATTTTGTGAAGTGTGACTGAACCACTACCAGGAGAAAATCTCCGAGACATCCCCCTAATATGCCTCCCACTAGTCACAGATGCCTGTCCTGTTATACTCTTGAAAAAGAGGTGTAAATTTCCTCCTACATATTCACATGTAGAGGAACAGAGAAGGCCATTGCCAATGATTTCCTGCGCTGAAGTGACTGCTCTGTGAGAGCTATTGGAGGATGACCCAGGAAAATGAAATGTGCAGCTGATGGGGCAAGCAAATACCAACTTTGTTCAGAGCCAGGAAGAGGCAAATCAAACATCCCGGGCCCGCTGAAATCAGCTCCAAAAGCTGCCGGCGGTTTTGACAGTAACGGCTGCTGCATGAAGAAAGGCGAGCACTACCTGCCCACTGGAAATACTCGCCATGGTGGTGTTCGCTACCAGTCATGCAAAATAACAACTCCAGCGAGAGGTGCAGCTGAACAGGAAGGGCAGGGACTTCAGCAGCAGTGTAATAAACCAGGGCGTGGTGGTGTAAACTAAGGCCTGTTGCTACTGATGCCGTTAAAGTCAAGGCTGACCTTTTCTTTCAGCTATTTTAACTATTATGTCTAACATTTTTTCAGCATAGCTGTTTCCCTGAATGAAACCATTTTGTCCTCACATATCAGTAGTAATGCTTATTTTAAAAGTGTGTAATTTTCTCTTTTTTATTTTTAACTTTTATTACCACTAATAGTAAATAAACTGAAAATAAAAGTGTGCAGAGCTAAAAAATTATGTTTAGTGCTGAAATTTTAGTAAGAGCACCCTCTGATGGCTAATGTATAAGTAAAACTTTATATCTTTCCTCCACAAGGAGTTGTACATGTAATTATAATACTGAATATTACAGAAATGGGTGGAAATCCTTTTTCCACTGAATTTTTCCTTTCAACTACTGTGAAATGCATAGATATATTTTGTCAAACAAAATAAAAATTCAAATACTAAAAACTGTTAAACATAGAAGGAGGAAAATGCTTATAAACATTTACTGTCTACAAGTAGAATTTAATTCAAAACAGTTAACCGTATGGGTAAAATTAGGTAGAAATATAGATAGATATCTCAAGGGACAGAGATGCTATGGCTCTCATATTTGCACTGGACCAAATCTAGAAACTAGGGGAAATTAACCTATTCAGTGGGTAAAATATGTATATCTTTTTCTAATCCTTTGTTGTTTTGATCTCATCATTTTAGTTGGATGATTTAAGTCTGTTTATTTTGCACAGGCTCCATGGTTTTAATCAGACATACTATGTCAATTATCAAGAAATCCCAAGAATAACTATTTATAACTTTGTCACAGGTATCTTCCATTTAAAAGTACCTGAGTCCTCTCACGTTGGTTCTGCTATTGGAAGGATAAGAGCTGTGGACCCTGATTTTGGGAAAAATGCAGAAATTGAGTACAACATAGTTCCAGGAGATGGAGGAAACTTGTTTGACATTACAACAGATGAGAACACCCAAGAAGGAGTCATCAAACTGAAAAAGGTATGTGACACTGATGGGGTGTATGTACCTATGGCTCAAGTGAGAAACTAGGTAAGAGAATTAAATGTTGTGCAATTATACCTCATAAGTAACACACAGTAGTTTGCATCTTTATTAGAATCTGTGGTTGTGATCTTAGTCTTAAAAGAAATTGGCGTTTAGTGTTTCATTTCATGTACAATCAGGTATGACTTTTCACAAATAATGACAGTTTTAATGGCAGAGGAGTAATTCTTATCTCTTTCTAGAAAGTATAATTTCTCTTTTATGGGAAGTTTTCCACCTAAAACCATGTGAAAAATGCTCCAGTTCAGAGCATGTAATGAGAGCGCTGTATTTTACATTTGAAATAATAAATTTCATAAGCATTTTATTTTTAAAATTCTGATTTTGTTTGTTATTTTAATAATGAAACCATTGTACAGTACTGTGGTGAACAGAGCTTTTACTCAGGGTAGAGGAGTCCCAAATGGTTGCAAATCAACATGTCCTACTTCCAGTCTCCTAATAGTGTCCCAAATAGCTGGTTATCATGTATTCATGCAAGGGAGCACACTGCATCTCAGCTGTTGATTTTGCTTTAGTGTATTAGAATAAGTTCAAGAGTATTGACTTTATGAATTCCGAAGATGGAAAGGTTAAGTGTGATTTGGAATTTAGTGATTAAAGCACTCAGCAAGAGACATCCAAAACAGGGACAGTCACATTTTAACCAATGGTTGTCTTCTGAGCCCAGGCATGTACACGTACACCAATGATCAACTTGTTTAGTAGAAAGAAATCTGACCCACCAGCTCATTTTGAAAGGCCAGGTTGTGTTTCATAGACAGCTCATGCTTATAGGTGTAATTCTTGTAAAATAAACACATCTATGAGCTGAACACTTCAGAAAGGTCTGGGAAGCAAAGGGTTCTGGACATGTGTATTAAGAGAAGCTTTAGTTCCAATAAAATTTAGAATTTAGGTACTTAAATTTCCCCCGGCTCTGACCATGGATCTATATTTTCATTATACTCATTCTAACAACGAAATTCCTGGCTTCAGCCTCTTGACCCGGGAAATAGAAAATTATCCATGTGTGCATTAAAGGACCAGATGATGTCAAGTCACTTACTCTTCTGCTAGTTTTAGTGACATATTTAGTGATTCAGTTCTCCCTGGATTAGTCTTAAGCCTCAGCTATGCTGCTTGTTTTTATACACAGCAATGGAATGTTTCCATACTTATGGTTAAGTGTATATATATTAGATTGTATAGGCAAAACATTCAAATTGGCAATGCAGATTCAAGCAGTATGCATATAATATCTGTTACTGATGAAAAGCATCCACATATGAATTTGCCTGGTACAGTTATCTTAGGACCAGCACAAACAAAATACCTGGCCACTTTTGAGACTGCTATATGGAGAATTATATAATATCTAATTGAATGACTAATTAAAAAAAAGAATTGACACAACTAATTCGACATCCAGATACTTTAGAGCTGGTCATTGTATTTTGCTGCATTTATTTAGTCTTTACAGTAACAAGATAAGGCATATCTGAAAGAGTAGGGCACTTTTACAACAGCAGAACATCAGTTGGTGTTGCCCAATGTAAATGATAGATCTCTGTCACTGAACAGGAGGGGAAAAAATATAATCCTAATCTCTTCTAATCTCCTTCATCGCAGTGAGCCTGGGGGCAGTGACAGGCTGTGAAGGTCAGGGAATGCCAGCTTTGTTCTATGTAGCAGTGTGGAAAGAAGATAAACCCAACAGGCAGGTCGTCCAGCAAAGAATGCCTTTATACAGACCCTACACGTTGCCCTTCACAAAACTTTTCTCAGGGAAAAGGTGCCATTCACTAAACTTTAAATGATCCAAGTGTTTTAAGACATTTTGGAATCATCCAAAATCCATCAACTTGCTAGATCCCAGGTTAAACAAGAGCAATCCAGATTCTTAAAGATACTGTTAACTGAGTTGTCTTTTCATATCCTCTATGCTTGTAATAATATAAATGTGTTTGCATGGGTTGCAGTTTTCAGATTTTCAGAAGTGCTGGACATTCACAATTCTGTAAACACCTATTAAAATGCATGCTGCTCATACTGTACAAGCCTGCAACAGCAATATTCGTTTGTCTGCACAGAAGCAATTTCACATTGCACGGTGTTCAAAACACTGATTTAACCTTGTGGGATTACACAAGTATTTAAGTTAGGTATGCATTTAAGTCCTCCTTTAAATCAAAGCTGGTGAATGAATAGGGCCAACAGTTTCAATTATGAATTATAAATAATAAATAGTCAAAGCCACTAATAAAAAGTGCCATGTGCTTTAAAAACAGGTTTTCACTTTTTTCTGTATCATAGCATATTCTGATGCTGTAAGTGCTGCAGTAATTCAGTGTTGAGCCATTTCAAAACCATTTATAAAGTTTGCTTTTATTTTTCCTGAAAAATTTCTTGCAGCCAGAAACTGTCACTGCATAGATGTTTTTTTTGTTCTGTTGTTATGTAAAAAAATGGAGATATTTCTATATCAAAATTTAGAAAAATGAAGCCTTCAGACTACATTTATTTTTGATGGAAAATACATTTGATGATAAAAAATTGCACAAGCCAAACTGTTCTTTTCAGCACGCTAAGTGCATTGGCGGAGGAAAAAGGCCATTCTCTGCTTCTCAGACACTAAATGGGCACAAAAAGCTACAGCTGGACAAGGTGCACATCTTAAATCATCTGTTTTGGTTGCTAATTTATTTTTGTGCTATGATCCAATATAAGCTTGATTACTACTACTCTTGTGCTATTTACATATATTAAAAATGGAAAAGCTTTCTTATATTCTGCTAAAGAAATGATCCAAATGCTATTTAGCACCACTGTGTGGTTAGTACTGTAATAGCTTCCTCTCTCAAAGAAAAAAAAAAAGGAAAATAGTATCAGTAAAAAGAGGGGGAAATGTCTGGCTTTAGGATAGTGCTGCATAGAGTTCTCTATAAGAGTAAGAAATATTATTATATTAGGAATAAAATTACCAATTTCTTCCCTTGTCTGGTGCTATTTAATACAGTGTTTCTTGGATTTTATATTTATATAGTATCTGTCATCCTACCTTAGTTCTTCAGCAAACTACAGTGAGTGTAAGCTACAAGAAGCAGGGTGACAGAAGAGACCATCTCCTTTGTATGGGAGTGTAGTGGCCTCAGGTGGGGCATGGAGCAGTGCTCCCAGGTATGGAGGGAAAATGTGTCAGTCCCAGGCAAGCTCCTGATTTTACTGAAACTGATAAGAAATCCTTAATGACCATACCCAACCGAAAAGGAAAACAGAAGGATCCAAGCTTCACTGAACAGTTGGCACTAAATTTATTAAACTAAGGATGAGTTTATAGAACAAGCCCATTCTGCAGGAGCCTCTTAATTGGCTCAGCATGAGCTAATCCAGAAATTGAGCAGGGTTCAAGCACTGAGTCTGGCTCAGACATTACTTTACTAATTTGTGCAGAGTGTCATTAAAACACGGGAAAAGACTGTTTCTAGGTTTCACCTGGTATGATCCTACATGCGGCACTATAGTGGGTGAGCTTCTCCACGTGGGTCAGTGGAAGCTCAGGGAACATCTGCATCTTTTTTTTGGTAAGCTGTGTACTATTGCTAACTGATCAGATGACAAAGCTGTATCCATGAAACCACAGCATGTCAGGGAGGACATAGCACTGCATGATGAGAAACAGTAACTTCAGTGATGATTAACAGAAACTGGGGGGACGATGAACAGACCCAGTAGCTGCAGGGAGGTATTTGGAGTGTATGCTTCCTTGTAACCTCAGGGGCCACTTTTAAAAAGCCTTTAATTGGAGGCAGCAAGTAGAAGTTTGACTGCTGACTAAGCTGAGCTGTCTTGCTCATGGGACAGCCCATGTATGTCATGCTGGGACATTGCTATAACGTAAGAGCAGTCTGATAGCATCTGTACATTGTAATAGTGAGCATAAGGCAGACTCCTGACGTCCCTCAAACAGAATTGCATTATCGCTACTACTTGCTTTACTATCAAGACTGTATAGACTGCTCACCCCACCCCTTCATTCTCCAGAGGCAGGGAATACCCTCTGCACGTGTGCATAGGCACTGTCTGCCTATAATCATAACTCATGAGTTTGTGTGAGTGGGAATTGTGGTTTTACATTTAAGGAGGAAGAGCAGGTGATATTCAGTCCTTCAGTACAGGCAGAAAGTGGTGACCCAGGTGCAGAAGCAATTATAAAGACCATGGCAGCCACAGAGGAGAATGACTGGAAGAGTGAGGAAGGGGAGGTCTTCAGTCTCTGCAGTTTGCAGATACAGCTGTTGGGTTTGTTTTTTCCTGGAACAGTGAAAGGCAGAAACAGGTAAGATGCTTGAGAGCAGAAAGCAGCTGCTCTGACCCTGACATTGGTCAGCTTCTTCCCTTCTCCAGATACAGAACATACATATATTTTGCCCACTTCCCATCAAATCTTGAAACACTCACTTCAAATTTGGTCAAATCTACAGCACTTGCTGTAGATTTGGCCTACAGATCTCATTTTTTACTGTGCATTCTCATCTCTGTAATTAATGAATGTTCCTGGTTGATCTGGAGCTTGCTTTAATAAACCAACCTGCTCTATAATAACAATTATTTCCTTACGCTATTTAAAATCCAGTGCAGAAGTGCAATTGCTGAAATGTGTCAATGCACAGCGAATAGTCTGATGGCAGTATTTCACAAAATACATAGACACTCAATCCATCTTCAAGGGGAAAGTGTTGCCAGGTTTTGAGGCGGGCACACATGACACAGAGTTGTTCTACAATTGCACAAGCCTGTGTTAATATGCACTTGAAGACAAGACAAAGTTACTATGCACTTCCTGTCAACCCAGTGCTACTGTCCGTAACTAGCCATATGCCCTGGGGCTTACAGTCTCATCCCAAAATATGGCTTTTCCATCATTGTAGGTGTGGATCATGAAAGTCTGTATCACAAACAGTACTGTTGTATCTCTTATATGTGGATAAAAAGCAGAAATTTCTGGAGTTTCTGGTCCTGCCTATTTGTGAAGCAGAATAAACTGACAGGATAGTTCTTTTTCCACGCTTGTCATGCTTCTCATCAGAATTCATTATATCTTTCAGCCAATTCTTTTTTCTTTCAGTTCTTTAATTCTCTCTCTCTCTCCCTCTCTCTGTCCACCTATCTATCAAATATATAAATTTAGATACAGATACATCTATATAGTAACATTTCTTAACTTCTACCTTGAATATGGGAAATAATAATATTTCAAAATACATTTTTTTCTACCACAGGGCTGTTTATGTGCTTTCCTAGTCATACTAAACAGGCCCATTCGTGGTACTTCCAGAGTTGCAAGATAAAGTGATTTGTTGGTATGTGTTATTCGATTTTGGGATTTGTGGAATGCCTTTGCTGCACACAGCTGTGTATGTGCTGATAGTACTTTACTATGCAACTATATAGAGCAGCTTGTAACCGCAACATAGGAAAAGGCAGATAAGAACCAGTAGGGGGGCCAAATACATCTATTCTGTCAGTGGTACTTGGAATATCAATTAGAAATATTCCTCAAATTGTGGAATAGTTCACAGTTAATAAGACGTTGCCTTAATATTAGCAAAAATGCTGTTTATTGTGGAAAAAATGTAACTTTTGTAAAATAAAAAGCCTTATTCAAACTTAGTTTTCTGAATATAATTATTTTTATAAAAGTAATAAATATTTCTATTGGTTATTTAAAAAAAAAACAAACACCTCTATGAAGTCATTTCATTAAAATCTGATTAATTGAAAGACATTTCAATAATCTTACAGTTTTTTTCTGTAAGATTCAAACATTCTGCTATGTTTGTACCCTTATCAGCATTACAGATTTTAAATGAAAATAGGACTGAGCACTGTCAGACATTTATTATGTAACAGCAAAATATGATTAAAAAAAAGGCGGCTAAAATACTGTGTGATCCACTCATTTCCTTCACAGATTTTAGTGGTATCTACTAAAAAAAGAAATACAAAGGAATGCTATTTTAACATCTTTAAAACTAAAAATCCAGAATGTTTTGCCTGAGAGCTAGGCAGACAGTCAAGTCTTCTGTTTTCAGGCAGACTCCGGGCATATCAAAGGCCAAAATTTGAGATTGTCAATAGCTATCTATATGGCTCAATTGTTCAAAACTGGGAAGACCAGAACTGACCAGGAGATTGTAGCATGGACTCCCCATACACACAATACATTGAAACCATACTCTTCTGCTGCATGTTATACGAAATCTTTTTCCTCTTCAAATTAAATCCTAGGTTTACCATTTGAAACATTTCCCATCTTTCCACAGAGGTTTCAGCTGCAGTTTAGCCTCACTTATATTAAAAGGCTAAATTCTGCTATTTTATGGGAGTCTGTCACTGATTTCTTTCTCTGACAATGGCTCAGCACTTTCAGCCTGTCTCTTATTTTGAGTGCCATTTGTGCTTTGCATTGGTCGCATATTGTTTAACCTCTAACTATATTTATCATCAGACCAACAGAAGGACAGAAAGGGAGAATGGGTTCCTCTGAGGTTACATTGGAAATATTTTCCTTTCTTGGGGTCAAACTGTCTTTTCAAAAATATACCATAGCATTGCCCCACAATGCTGGGAGGGGAGACGTAATGCAGCCGCTTTATCTGACTTCTGGGTAGCTCTGCAGTAAAATATGCCAGCCTGAGCACACCAATACACAGAATTGCTTGAAATCTTATTTCTTTCTGTCCATTCCCAAACAAGGACTCTGTTCCCCTTGCATCATTAAAGTGGTGACTGGGCACTGGCCAAGAACCATGATGTGGTACTGCTGCCTTGAAGAGTAACTCAGTGAAAGGCAGCCTGCAAGGACTGCATGGATTATGGCTCTTTCCATTAGCACATCTATCTACAAATATACTCATCTATCACTGGAGCCAGTCTGAACAGTTTTAATGCAATTTTGGGGGTATGAAAGATAGGCATCTGTTAGAATTACTACTTAATTGAGAGCTTAGATTTCCTGCTTTTTCTGTCTTAATCATATATCTCTAGCTTAGCCTCTCATAGTTAGACTTTTTCCACTCCAGACTGGTTCTTTAAACTCAAGGTTTTCTCTCCTTAATATATTTTTTGAAAACATGTTAACAATTTATATGATCAGCTGGAGAAGAAGTTGGGGGGGGGGTTTGTTTGTTTGGGGGAGTTTTTTTGGCAATGCATAACAATGAATAAAAGTAGTATAGAAACTGAAAAGACAGTGTGACAATTTGGATAATGAAGCAGCATGTCCATCTATAGTGAAGGCAACAGCTTAGTTTTTCACTACTAGGGCACAAGATCTTTTACACTTAATTCTGTCTGTTTCTTCTTCGCCTTAGTTTCTTCTTCCTTCTGTCAGTCCAGTCATGAAGGTGCAACTCATACTGACTATTACTGGGAATTTTGTCTGTAGGAGGATGGTTTCATGTGGTAGTGGATTGGTTAGCAGTACTTGGCTCTCAAGCCTGATTATTTCTATGGTATATAGACTTGGATGGATAATTTTAAATCCCCAACTCAGAAAAGACTGACCATCTGGTCTATTAAAATTATAAATTCTTTCATAAGGATTTAAAATCATTATGCTAGTTGTTCAGCTCATGTAAGTCAAGGTAATTCTATTGATTTTAATGGAGCTACTTCAATTTATAACAGCCAGTCATCTGGCCAATTATGTCCTGTTGTGATAAGGACAGAAAATGGCAGAATTTAAATCTATCCTAGCTGTGACAAATGACTGGAAACACTGCCGTAATGATGGCTGGGGGAAAAAAAAAAATGACAGACATTGAAATATTCTTGCTCATACACTTGTGATCCTGCTCTCTTTTCCAGATAGCATAGCCTTTCCCGTTAGAAAATTTCCAACTTGACAATTATAGGCAGAAACCACTAGGTGCCAGTGTTACCCAGACATCAGGAAAAGACTGTCGGTAACGTTAAAAACAACATGAAAGCTAATACAGCTAAACCCTTTAACTGAAAATAAAGCTTCTGTGTCTTTTCAACTAAGTAAGACTGCATTAAGGTTTTTCAGATGATTACTCTTCTAAACCCAGAGGCACTAAATCAATGTACATTGACAGAAACCCACACCAAAACAATCTGATTGCAGGATGCATTTCCATCAAAAACGCAGATAGGTACACAAAAGCTGCTATGCTGCCTTCAAGACTTTATGGATTACACCCAGGATCATAAGGCAGAGTTAAAGTCTGCATTTTTCCACACACGTGAAGCTCAAATATATGGCATGAATAGCAGCTCACTACTAAGATAGACATTTTACAGGAAAAACTTGGTTCACACCAAGTTTGAATTCACATTCCAAGCCACATCTGAAGTTGGTTTGACCCATTGGTATATATCAGAGTTTTCAGTTGGGCTCATT